ATTCTATGATTTTGTCATTTTTTAATGCAGAGTAATACTCCATTGTGTATAAATGCCACATTTTTTTAATCCATTCGTCTATTGAAGGGCATCTGGGTTGGTTCCACAGTCTTGCAATTGTGAATTGAGCTGCTATGAACATCGATGTAGCAGTGTCCCTGTAGCATGCTCTTTTTAGGTCTTTAGGGAATAGACCAAGAAGGGGAATAGCTGGGTCAAATGGTGGTTCCATTCCCAGCTTTCCAAGAAATCTCCATACTGCTTTCCAGATTGGCTGCACCAATTTGCAGTCCCACCAGCAATGTACAAGTGTACCCTTTTCCCCACATCCTCGCCAGCACTTGTTGTTGTTTGACTTCATAATGGCTGCCAATCTTACTGGAGTGAGATGGTATCTTAGGGTGGTTTTGATTTGCATTTCTCTGACTGCTAGAGATGGTGAGCATTTTTTCATGTACTTGTTGATTGATTGTATATCCTCCTCTGAGAAGTGTCTGTTCAGGTCCTTGGCCCATTTGTTGATTGGGTTGTTTGTTATCTTATTGTCTAATTTTTGGAGTTCTTTGTATACTCTGGATATTAGGGCTCTATCTGAAGTGTGAGGAGTGAAGATTTGTTCCCAGGATGTAGGCTCTCTATTTACCTCTCTTATTGTTTCTTTTGATGAGAAAAAACTTTTTAGTTTGAGTAAGTCCCATTTGTTGATTCTAGTTATTAACTTTTGTGCTATGGGTGTCCTATTGAGGAATTTGGAGCCCGACCCCACCGACTGTAGATCGTAGCCAACTTTTTCTTCTATCAGACGGCGCGTCTCTGATTTGATATCAAGCTCCTTGATCCATTTTGAATTCACTTTTGTGCATGGTGAGAGAAAGGGATTCAGTTTCATTTTGTTGCATATGGATTTCCAGTTTTCCCAGCACCATTTGTTGAAGATGCTATCCTTCCTCCATTGCATGCTTTTAGCCCCTTTATCAAATATAAGATAGTTGTAGTTTTGTGGATTGGTTTCTGTGTCCTCTATTCTGTACCATCGGTCCACCCGCCTGTTTTGGTACCAGTACCATGCTGTTTTTGTTACTATTGCTCTGTAGTGTAGTTTGAAGTCTGGTATCGCTATACCGCCTGATTCACACTTCCTGCTTAGCATTGTTTTTGCTATTCTGGGTCTTTTATTTTTCCATATGAATTTCATGATTGCTTTCTCTATTTCTACAAGAAATGCCGTTGGGATTTTGATTGGCATTGCATTAAACCTATAGAGAACTTTTGGTAATATCGCCATTTTGATGATGTTAGTTCTGCCTATCCCCTGTCCTTTCTTTCTGAAACTCCTACTGGTCAGATGTTGGACATTTTACATTCATCCTCCATGCCTTTTTTGTTTGTTTGTTTCCTCTCTCCCTTTCTCTGACTGTCCTCTCCCTCCCCATTTTTTTTCTTTAGAGATGACTATATTTTCTCAGAGATGACTTTATTTTTATTATGTAACCTTTCTCTTGAGATTATCAACTTCATATTTTCATATCTGCTCTTTAAAATTTCAAAAGCCTTTTCTTGTTTCTGATTGTTTCTTTTCATAATACCTTTTCTTGTTTTATATTGCATCTATTATATTAGTGAAGGGTTTTATGTTTTCTTCTTCCTACATTGTCTATTTCCCCCAAATTTTGATATTTCTGTTTATTTATTTGGTTTAATTTTTCACATTTGAAACTTTCTCAAGTCAGAAAATCCTAGATGGTCAGCTCATGTTTAAGAGAATTAGAAACTATAAAGATATTTGGGAACTCTGAATATATATGAGAGATTTCTGGACCATGAACTTTATTGGTGGTTAATCTGAGGGCCATTTGGAGGGAGCATCTGGCAGAGAGGTCTGTCTTCAAACTCTCTGGGAATGCAGCAAGAGGGTAGATAAATAATTCTCCTAACATTTATATTACTCCTGTTTCCGTCAGGATGATACATCCACCCCAGCTTAGAAGGACAGGCTTTGGCATCCCATCCACCCTACCTTACCTCTCCTGCTATAGGAAGTCAGTCCTCACAATCCCATCATCAATCCTGAAATAGATTCATCCCCAGAAATGGAGGATGGAAAGGGACATGATGGTATGTGGGGCACATTCCACACCACAAAGCCTTGCCCACAATGAAGCATATGTTGTGTTGAACCCTGCCTTCCTGCTGTTAACAACTAACAAGTCTTAGTCTATTAGTGTTGCTACAGCAAAATACCATAGACTGGGTAATTTACAAGTAGTAGGACTTTATTTCTCATAGATCTGGAGGCTGGGAAGACTAAGAGGTTCAATGTATATCGAGAGCTACTCTCTGTTTCAAGATGATGATGCCTTGTTGCAATATCCTGGCAGGGGCCCGGGGGATAGTGAACACTGTTTCCTCATGTGGCAAAAGGACAGACAAGCATGAACTGACTACTTCAAGCCCTTTTAAAGGGCCCTAATCTCATTCTTTTTTTTAATATTTATTTTTTAGTTTTAGTTGGACACAATACCTTTATTTCACTTATTTATTTTTATGTGGTGCTGAGGATTGAACCCAGGGTCTGGAACATGTGAGGATGCTCTACTGCTAATCTTATTTTTAAGGGCTCCATCCTCATGAATTAACTCTTAAACACACTGTCTCGTAATATTATTACATTAGCAATTAAGTTTCAGTATATGAATTTGGCAGATGTATTCAGACCATACCACTCCACAAAGCAGAGTCTGCTTTCCCTAATGTTTCCCTCAGCATTGGTCCCCAGCCCAAGCAACCCAACTCTCATTCTCTACATGAAAGCCCTTGTCTCAGACATGGTAGTGGTGGCAGGTTGGTGGTGGCCAGACATGGTGTTCCAACATCAGCTCCCTCTCCTACCAGCCTTAACACAGACCAGGTCACCAGGGAAAATCCTCTGATGGATTTTTTATCTCAGGGCTTTGTTTTTGTAGACATGATTAAATTAAGACTCTTGGGGCTGGGGTTATAATTCAGTGGTGGAATACTTTCCTAGCATGTGTGAGACACTGGGTTTGATTCTCAGCACTGCATATAAATAAATAAAACAAAGGTCCATTGACAACTAAAAATTTTTGAAAAAAATAATCTTGAGATGGCAGATTATTCAAGTGAACCTAGTATAATCACAAAGTTCCCTATAAGTAAGGCAGGGGAATCAGATGCTTCCATGTGACAATGGAAACAGAGATGGGAGGAGAAAAAGGAGAGAGATTTGAGCTTGGAGGAAGGAGCCACCGGCCAAGGAATGCAGGGAAGCTTCTAAAAGCTGGAAAAGTCAAGGAAGCAGATTGTCCCCTAGAGCACACAAAAGTAAGGTACCCTGCAGGCAACTTGATTTTAGCCACATAAAACCCAGTTTGGACTGTAAAAAAAAAAAAAATTGTATTGTTTTAGGCCACTACATTTGCAGTGATTTGTTTGTGGTAATAAATAACAAAAGGAAGGCTGGGACTATGGCAGAGCACTTGACTAGCACATGTGAGGCACTGGATTCAATCCTTAGCACCACAGAAAAAAATATAAACAAAATAAAAGCATGCCATTCATTTACAACTGCAATTTTTTTTAAATAAATAGCAATAGGAAACTAATAACATAGGAATGAAAATTGGATTACTTTAAAAAGTTGTTTGGCAATATCTACAGAGCTGAACATATGCCTACTTCGTGACTCACAATTCCACTCCTAGGTATGTACCCAACAGAAATAGGTACATATGTTCACCCAAGGACATCTAGTATCATGTTTATAGCGATATTGTAATGTCTCAAACATGAATATTACCCAAATGTCTATCAGGAGTAAAATAAGTTGAGCTGTATACACATCATGGAATACTATATAGCAAAAAGAATGAACAAACCACAACCACACACAGTAGTCATCTCTAAAATTTAATATTGTGGTAAAAAAGTCAAACAACAGGGTGACAGGGTGACAAGGTGATTCAAGTGCCAAACAAGCAAAACTAATGTATGCTGTTTGAAACCACTACTCCCCACAAGGGGGAGATATAAAGAGATCTTCTGGGGAGCTGGTGGGTGTTCTGTTTCTTAATCTGGATTATTCAATTTGTGCAAAATCACTGAATTTGGGAAATGTGCACCTTTAAATATGTACACTACATATACATAGATAAAAAGCTTTAAAAATAGACAATGGGAAGAGACCTAAGACTTCCAGAAAATTTGCCCAGTCCTTTCTGGGAACCTCCAAACAAACCAGGGCAAAGGGCAACCCAGATCCAGGACTTCCAACTCCTTAGGGCCCACCTCTAGGGTAAAATGTCCCATGAACTTGCTTCTAAAGACTCTGAATGTCAGAAAACAGTGAATCTTTTCTCTGTCAGACTCTCCAAGATAAGCACAGAGTTAAAACCATTTCCTTGGTATGGTATAGCTCAATGAGAGGTAGATCACTTGGCTCATGTGCAAAAGGCCCTGTGTTTGATCCCCAGCACAACAACAACAAAAACTGTTGTTTTAATTTCATCTTTCTTGATCTTTCAGCGGAGTTTAATATATGAACTGTATTTTTGTTGAATGTCATATTAAGCCTTAATAGCAGTGTAATACAGTTATGAATTCATAAAAATAAAAACAAGAATGATTGTTCCCACTAACACTCCAACCAGAAGTGAGGCTGGGGGCATTGCCTAAGTGACCAGGATAGAGCAGAGTCCCGCGAGGGCAGATTCACTGACCAGCCGCGTGGATACGAGCTGGGCAGAAAAAGGGGTGCAGAAGCCGACCAAAGATCCTAGGGGCGTTGGGGACCCTACCACCCTAGCTCTAGGACGAGTCAAGTCTTTGGGGCCAAAGCGCAGTGGCCAGAGGAGGGGCGGGGGCCGGGCTTATGAGAACAGAAGGCGGAGCTTCGGAGAACAACCTCTGGCCCCCGGGACTGGACTGGCACGCCGCCCCCACCTGCAGCGCATCCCCGAGTCGGCGCGTCACTCCCAGCGGAAGCGCCGCACAGCCCCGGCGTCTGGAGAAGTGCGCGCCTCCCGGCTCCCACTCCACGCTTCTCAGCCCGCCGCCCGCCTCTCTCTGCCAACCAGGGGCGGGGACGGGGAGGCACCAACTAGCATCTGAGATTGGCGCCGCCAAAGACCAAAGATCATTACCCAGTTCCGACGGCAGACAGGGTTGGGCAGCTCGGTCCGGCTTTGCGCCCTGGGGCCACCAGTTCGGAGGGTCAGAGCTGCCCGAGGGAAGCGACGGGCGCCGCTGCCAACTCGACAGAGAGTCTCAGGTCAGTGTGCGGCGCCGTCTCCGCCGACTGCACTTGGGGAAACTTTGGGTTGCCGTGCCAGCTGCTGGGAGGAGGGCACCGAGGGCGCAGCCCGAGACCCCGAGGCCGCGTGGCCTTCGTGCGCCCCGCCCTCGAGCTCAGGCTCTGGATCCCGCACCTCACGCGCATCCTGACACTGCAGTGCCCCGAGCCGAGAAAGAGACCCGGCCGACCAAGAGGCAACGGGCTTCACGGGCCTCCGCAGCGCCACTGCCCCGCCACCCCGGGGCGCGCTCAGCCCGAGCTTACCCTCTCGCCTCCTGCAATCCACGCCGGTTCTCGGCTCCGGCTTTGCGGCGGCTGGGGCTTGGACCCCGCGGGATGCGGGTTCCGCCTCCTTCTTCGCCTCACGGCGCTGGGGGAATGAACCCGAGCCGCGGAGCTGCTGGGTGTCGGCGCCGCAGTGGGAGCGGCGCGCGCTCGGCCGCAGGAGCGCGCGGGTCGGAGGGTCCAGCTCGAGCGCGTCTCCGCAGGTGCCTGGGGCCGCTGGGCAGCAGGAGGTGCAGGCTGGGCGCAGAGGGTGGGTTGTGGCTTGAGGAGCCCTTTGCAGCCTCTGGTTCGAGCAACCGGAGTCAGACAGGGGTGGGCAGCTGGGACCCGTGGCTCTCCAGCGCGCACATCCTTGGCACCAAGGATGTGCGCGCTGGAGACCCCCTTCGCCCAGAGCCAGGATGCAGAGGTGCGCCTTCCCTGGGATAAGGGCAATGGCTGTCCCCTCGGGCGCGCCATTTCCCAAGGGTGGGCTGCATCCTCCCAGAGGGCTGGAGGTGCGGAAACCACTCTTCAGGGGCCCTGGGCAGAATCCCCTTTCGTGGATGGCAATAGCTTCAGCCCGCCAGCCGCTGCCCTGGCTCACAGAGGAGGTGAAGAAACGTGCGCCCCGCCCCCATCCGTGCCCCAACGCTGTCGCCCCAGTCACCTTCCTTTGCCCTTCTCTGACAGCACTTTGGGCTTGCTCCCTCCCGTTCTTGGAAAAGACTGAAGAGACGCCATCGGGGATCCAGAGACAGCATCCTCAATAGCTCGGAAATCTAGTCATCTTGGTTCCCTGAGATTGGAGGTGCAGGTTTGTCCTCCACCCACCCCTCTGTTACCTCTGTGTGTGTGTGTGTGTGTGTGTGTGTGTGTGTGTGTGTGGAGGGGGAATCTATTCAGAGATGTAGGGGTGTATATATCCCAAGGATTTTTCGTAAAGGCCCTGGGGACAGCCCCAAGGTAATAGAAGATAACCTAGCCCTTTGTGGGTATGTGTAGGGAACAGTACTAGCTACTCCTTCCCTTAGGCATTTTGTCAATAATTCTTAGAAACTGGTGCCGTGGAAGAGCACTCTTTTTGGCCAGTCCCTTACATTTCCTGGGACAATCTCAGATGCATCTTGCTGGGTAGGAGAGGCATGCTTTTCTTGTGGCTGGCAGGCTTTCTGTACTCCAAGTTGGCCTGGGCATCCTGGCCTTAGGCTCCCCACAGGACCAGGTTTTTTTCAGACTTGTCTGGGAAGAGCAAGGCAGCAAACCTCCAACCCCCCGGGGGCCTGTTCTAACTCAAGGCTGTACTCTGAAACCCAAAGGCTCCCTTAACTCCTTTCTGGGCTAACCATCTCTACCCTTCACTCCCGCAGAGGAGTTGAGCATCAAACCACTTGAAGATCTGTAAGAGTTAGAGGTAGGGGTTGATAGCATATAGGAATGAAGAGACTGCCCCACATTTTCTCGAAGTGGGCAGCAAGCACCTGGTATTGAATATCTGGGAATAGAGCCTGGAATCTTATTTTTAACAGATTCTCCCTGTGATGTTTATGCCCACAAAAGGTGAGAACCCATTGGTAGAGGAAATTTGGCCTCATTGTCCGACCCTACCAGCACAGAGGATTCACATGTAGAGGACCTGTATTTGCTGATGTATGTTTAGAAACTGTCATTTATTGAATTCTTCAGCAACAAGTATATTTGAGTCTTTTAAAATTCTTAGAACTGTCTACTGTGACATAGGTATTATCCTCATTTTAGGGGTGAGAAATGACTTCCCAAAGGTTGGTAGCTTGAAGAGAGACAGCCCAGGTTCTTGACACACACACCTTGCTGCCTCTTCTGCATAAAGGCAGGACTCAGGTTGGTGGGAAGGACTGAATTTGAGCTTCAAACCTATTTGTGAAGTTTCACTCCCTCTCTCCCCCACCATAGCCAGACAACTAACTTTATGGTGGGAGAATGGATCCAATTAGAAGCTATAGTAAAAGGCACCAAGGAAAACAACTTTTTTGACCTAATGAAAGGAAAACTGAGGGAAATATTGGGAGAGAAAGCCATAGGAAAGGCCTCGCTCGTCATCTCCAAGACAGCTTTTAAGGCACCTCAGCCAAAACGGCACTGTCACGTTAGACACTGCATGAGTCAGGTTCTCCAGACAGAACCCTGCTCTGCAGCAAACTGGTCATCCAAGAGACAAAGAGATGCTAAGAAAGGACACAGAAACTTGTACTTAACCTCTGACAGGCAGGTGGATAAGACGAAGGACCTTGGGAGAATTCGCTTTTCTTTTCTTCCTCAACCTTCTGCCTGGCTGAACCAGGTAAGGGCCTGCTGACAGTTCTTGCAGGGCAGGCTCCATCCTACAAACAGACACCCACCAGTTTGCTATGCATAAAATCCACTCCAGGCGCTTTTACAAACTCGTAATTGGTGAAATATGATAAACTGAACAAACACTGTAGAGACTTCTTAACAAGGAATTAAAAAACTAGACTCCAAATGAGAAAGATGCTTGCAGCAAATCATTGGTGTTTATGTGCCTCTGAATAGCTTTGATTTCCTTTGGTAGGAACTGACAGCTGGCTGCCAGGAGACTCATCCAGGGATAGAAGAGAAAAAGTGAAGTAAGAAATTTGGAATAATGTTTTCAGGTAACTTTCTATTTCCATTTGGAGTGGGTGTGTAGAATGGTGAGTATAGTTATGGTTTGAACTGCTTCATTTATCCACAGATATTTTTAATAGGACTCATAATTTTAAAATGCAATCATTTTCTTTCTTCCTGGCTTCCAGTCTCCTGGTAGCAGGGCAGGCAGAGAACTGGAGATCTCAACATTCAGCCTACAGATTCTCAATTTATCCACATTTTCAGCTTGCTGCCTTCAAGTTCAGAGCCTTTCTGATCAGTTTGCTCAGGTTATCAATCTTTGTTTTCTTGCAGTTAGTTGTCTGCTACTTGGGACAGGGTGAAATAGCTGGAGGTCCAGGTACTCTGTCTGCAGATTTTCAACTGTCCTCTCATCTTCAGTCCTGTGCCTCCCTGCCACTTTCTGCAATGCTTGGAATTTCTGAGTGCTCAACTTCATGGGCCCTGTTTATGGGTGGGCTCCCTTCTCTTTGGGCCTCCTCCCCTGGCTCTTTATTTTGCAGCTATCTACCATTCCACCAGCTCAGCTCTCTTCCAGAGCTTATTTGAAATTACTTATCTGATGATTCGTCCCCTCTAATTTTCTTTGTTCTTGAGAATATATATGTATATATATATATATATATATATATATATATATATCTTTTTAAAAAATTAACCAAGTAGTTCTAATTTTGATGGGATCTTGGGTGTAGAGAGAGATACTGAAAGATTGTGATAAAATGCCATGATGAATTGTAATTGATGTTAAAGACATTCTAACTTTAAAATAAAAATGTTTGTGCAACTGTTTAATCATTAAGGTCTTATAATAATATAGGATTTAGAAATTATAAAGAAAATGTACTTAAAGGATATGTTCCTTCCATTTCTCACTGATTATATTCCACTTATGTTTACAAAATATTATTTACAGATTCTGAAAAAGCATTTTCAGTATTTTATCTGTTACGTAAATAGGCTGCAGGTTAGAGATGTGATAAAAATAAAAGGAGTCAGAATTATGAGACAATGTTTGTGTATGTGCTGCTGAAGATTGAACCCAGGACCTCGCCTGTGCTAGAAAAGTTTTCTATCACTGAGCTACATCTCCAGATCCCTGAAATAAAAAATTTTAAGAAGGATGTAGTGAGTTGGAAGGCACAAGAAAGTCTTCTAGCATTGTTTAATTTCATGTTTCATCCACATGGAATATTATGATTGTCATTCCATAGGGGAATGTCATGAGCAGCGCTAGTAATAATTATTCAGAGGTGGATTATCTTTAAATATAAGCATATATTCGGTCACACCAATCACCAAAAATAAACAATTAATGCAAAACTCATTGGGTGTGCTGGAGTACCCCACCTAGCATTCAAAGCACATTAATTAAACACTATAAGCAAATCACACAATTCTAGGGCAACCATGAGCCCCCAAATACCTCCAATGCCACGCGACTTCTCTTAGTCAAAGAGCAGACGTTGTCCTTGTCTGGTGGTTCTCTCCAGCCGATGGCTAGACGTCAGGAAAAGTGGAGTCAGTCCAGGGATGGACAGCAAGGTGGCCAGTCTCACTGATTTCTTGGAGCAAAACTCTTCAATGTGGCAGGACCAGCAATTTAAATATAGTTTCATGTTGGTGGTGTACCTTGATGATTGGTTATGCCCAGTGAAAGTCAACGTCCATTGGTTATGTCCAGTGAGGTAATATAATTGCAACTGGGCATGTTCTTTGCACATTCTTATGGAGCTGTACTCCCTATCATATGTAACCAGTCATTGCTAAGAATGCCTATGGCTAGTGCCCCTTATAGCTCTTTATCAATTGCAAGCAGACATTTCTAAGCAGTTTAATGGCTGCTCTTCCTAATGGCCAACAACTTAGTTAGTCCCAGCATGTCCCAGCATGTCTATGGCAGATTCACCTTACAAGGAAGAACCCAACACTCTGATAGACTGAGCCTTTACCAGGACATATAGCTCAGAAGTAGGTGTGTCAGGATTGAAACCTGGGCCTGCGAGTCTGAACTTCTTCCAGTTGTAGTGTTTTCTGTGTGGAAAGTAAAACTGAACTGGGGGATTGTTTAAACACTACATATAATGAAGAAGTTGACTGAATTTTAATGTCTCAGCTCTGGGTGCTCAGTCAGACAGGAGAAAAGAACATTCTAGGCAAGAGAAATGGTCTTAACCAAAAGTAAATTTAGCTCTATGAAAAATAAGTCAGACTTAAATATCAGAAATATCAGCACTTTGGATGTACAAATAGATAAGGAAAGGTTAAAAAAAAAACACTTGAAAGAGGATGAAGGCCTAAAAATAGGAGATTATTCCAGTAAGATACTGATTACAAAATGTGACCCTAGGGACTCAAATATGTACTATACATTTAAAGAATAAAATATCTATGGCTTTTTTTCTCTGAAAAATTTAATGTTCAGAATTGTCCTACTAAATGTTAAAAAGTAAGCAAACCAAGTGACTTTAAAAGTCATTATAGCCAGCTGCAGTGATATGGATCTATAGTCCAAATTACTTGGGAGATTGAGGCAGAAGGATCGCTTGAGCCCAGGAGTTCAGGGCCAGCCTGGACAATATAGCGAGGCCTGTCTCTTAGAAAGAAAAACAAAAGTCGTCATAACGAAGAAAGAGTAAACCTCATGGAGTTGTTTTTGCTAGCCAGTCCTCCAGCCCTTGAGGGAGAGGATCTACCATTGTATTTATGACAGATAACTTAGGCAGCCAGTTGATACCATTGATTTGCTTCTTTAAGATCTGCAGCCCACAGCATCCCGCTTTCCACAGGACTGAGGTGGACACTGCCCCACTCAGGGATTCAGGTTGCCAGTATTGCCAGCTCCCTTTCTCCTGGAACCTCTTGACACCAACCTTAGTGAAAGAAAAGTTCTGACGGGAAGTGTTCAGATTTAGTGTTGTGGACAAAGACCTTTAGTTGAGGATGGGTGAAAAGTCCAAAGACTTCCCAAATAGGTTCTTATGAGAGTTTAAAACAACAAAAATCCAAAGCAAGATTTCCCAAATAGAAAGTATATTGCCCTATATGAAAGTATAATATTAAAATATGGTACCTGGCAACTTGTTCATATTTCAGTGTTTCTTAAATGCTACTTTTTTCCCCAAGATTTTTAAAAATGACCATTTACTGCATCTATTATTACTAGGTGATTTATTACTAGGTGATTTATTACTAGTTACTAGTTACTAGGTGATTTCTATTTTTGATGTTATGTACCAAATCTCTTCTCTAAATTTCTTTGCTGTATTAAATGCATTTATAAATGAAAAATACTAAAGGAAGTATCTTTTATGACGGCTCTCTCACCGTGGCTCTTTTCAAATGTTTTGCTTTAGAATAGATCTTTTGAGTTGGAACCCAAGCTACTAGTGGATTCTAAATTCCTTTGTTCCTGAGTCGCAGGTATGTTCATCTCTGGAATAGTTCTTGCAGAATGTGACAATGAGGACGTAAAATCAAAATGTTTACTTTTGTTGTGTTTACATATATATTTATTGAGTAGTTGTTCTTTGTTTGCATAACGAATGATACCAAAGTGGAGAGGAACAAGTTTATTCTTCAGAATGCTTCCTTTCAGGAGCTTAGTCATGGCAACTGCAATGGAAAGTTTGTGCAAAACTACTATTGTTAACACCATGAATTATGTTGCAAAAAGAAGACCTCGTATGACTCTGTAAATTTTGCATGTATGCTGTGCTTTTTTCTGTATGCATGTTTTATTTTACAATAAATAGATAAGAGTGGCATTATATGGAAGAGTATATGAAATAGGTACCGTTTAAATAATAATAATAAAATGACACCCCTATACATAGCACCAAGATTCAGAAATAGAACATGATCATTTTCTCTTAACTTTTATGTTTATCATTCCTTTTTGCTTTCATTTTTATTTCCTACTTATAAATGATCTGTAAGTAAAATAATTGTATCTTAAAAAAAAAAACTGGGCAACAAGCACACAATTATACATATCAGGAAAGAGCAATATTTGCCGATATATGATGGCAGCTCTCAGAAGATAAATTGGTCAGTCTCTGCATCTCGGTCTGGCTCAGCGTCCATGTGTGCTTACAAGAGCTCCTGTAGGCAAGGTCAAGAGTGAGTGGGTCCTGGGAAGCGTGGGGCTCACCATTACAGGGCCGCTGGCAGTGCACAGTGGTATCTAAAGGGAATGAATGGGCTGTTCAGTCATTCTCCTCTGAAGCCCACCAGAGATGAAATGAGCACCATGATTGCCACAGAAGACAAGTATAGAAGAGAGAGGAGAGACGTGGTTGGGGCACAGCAAGCAAAGACAAGAACTGAGAGCAGGCTCCCCCTGGGATGTGGTCCTCTGCTAACAGATGGAGAAATGGCCAAGTGATCTTCGAGAGGGTATCTTTGGTACTCATTATCCCAACATTTCCCTTCAGCATTTTCCTGGGGGGGGGGTGCCTTTCCTCCCTGGAGATGTCTAGCCCTTGGTGTCTCATGCTCTCCTTTTTCCTTGTTTCACTATTTCATCTTTGTCAATTACATCCTCCAGTAAATTTTTGAGAGTTTGTCCTAGTTCTTGTCCAGTGGCTTAGCTAAATATAGAATTTGAAACAGGTTCATTTTCCTTCAGAATTTCAAAGCTATTCCTCCATTGTTTTTCATCGTTATTATTGGTAGATCTGAAACTATAGTAATTCTGGATCCTTAAGTATGAAACTTATCACCACATTCCCTGAACCCTACCTCTAAACCTGTGGAATCTTCTCTGTTTTAGAAATTTACAACCAGGTGTTATAAGTACGGTTGGCTTTCATTTATTGTGGGATGCTCTAATTGGGCCCTTTCAATTTGGTTATTCATGTTCCTTGGACCTAGAAATTTTTCTTGATCTCGTTGATTTCTCCCCTGTGCTCCTACCTCTGCCCTCCAGTATTTTTTCCTTTATGCAACTTCCATTATTTGAATGTTGAAGTTTCTGGTCTGGTCCTCTAATTGTCTTCCCCACTCTATTCATTTTGTTTGACTACTTTAAAGATTTTTTTTCTTTGACTTGTTTTTCATCTTAGATTTACACAGAGCTTTCATGCAATCAGCTATCAATAATTTTAAAAAATTTCCGATTAAAAAAATTTCTAATGAACATTTAAAAATTTTTTCTAATCAGTTATATATGACAGCAGAATGCATTTCATTTCATTGTGCACAAATGGAGCACAACTTTTCATTTCTCTGGTTGTATATGATGTAGAGTTGCACCATTTGTGCAGTCATACATGTACCTAGGGTAATGATGTCCTTATCATTCTACCATTTTTCCTACCCCCATGCCCCCTCCCTCCATTATGGATCAGAATCCACTTATCAGAGAGAAAATTTAGCCTTTGATTTTTTGGTGATTGGCTTATTTAGCATGATGTTCTCCAACTCCATCCATTTACCTGAAAATGCCATAATTTTATTCTCTTTTAATGCCAAGTAATATTCCATTGTGTATATATACCACAGTTCCTTTATCCATTCATCTATTGAAGGGCATCTAGGTTGCTTCCACAGTTTAGCCATTGTGACTTGTGCTGCTAAAAACACTGAAGTGGCCGTGTTACTAAAGTACACTGTTTTTAAGTCTAGGGTGTAGACTGAGGAGAGGGATAGCTGGGTCAAATGGTGGCTCCATTCCAAGTTTTCTAAGGAATCTCCATACAGCTTTCCAGATTGATTGCTACCAGCAATGAATGAATGTGCCTTTTCCCCCATGTCCTCGTCAACACTTATTGTTGCTTGTATTCTTGAAAACTGCCATTCTGACTGCCATGAAATGAAATAATCTTAGAGTAGTTTTGATTTGCATTTCTCTAATTGCTAGAAATGTTGAACATTTTTTCATATATTTGTTGATTGATTGTATTTCTTCTTCGGAGAAGTGTCTGTTCAGCTCCTTAGTGCATTTATTGATTGGGTTGTCTGTATTTTTTGGTATTTTTTTGAGCTCTTTATAAATCCTGGAGATCAGTGCTCTCTATCTGATGTGTGTGTGGTAAAAATTTGCTCTCTCATTCTGTAGGCTCTCTCTTCACCTCATTGATTGTTTCTTTTGCTGAGAAGAAGCTTTTTAGTTTGAATCCATCCCATTTATTGATTCTTGATTTTATTTCTTGCACTTTAGGAATCTGATTAAGGAAGTCAGGACCTAATCTGACATGATGAAGATTTGAGCCTACTTTTTCCTCTGTTAGGTGCAGGATCTCTGGTCTAATTCCTAGGTCCTTGATCCACTTTGAGTTTTGTGCGTGGTGAGAGATAGGGGTTTAATTTCATTTTGCTGCGTTTAGACTTCCAGTTTTCCCAGCACCATTTATTGAATAAGCTATCTTTTCTCCAATGTATATTTTCAGTGCCTTTGTCTAGTAAGAGATACTTTAGAGATCTTATCAGCCTTCTCATCCAGCTTTTCTGTTGAATTTCCCAGATCTGTATCATGTTTTTGCCTTTTGAGAACTTTTTTTATGGAATCTCAATATTCTTTTTTTTTCATATGATTTTATTCTTGTAATGTAGTTACAATATCTTGTTCATGTGAGGATAATGAGTTTTGAAATTTTCATTTTCCTAACATCTGTTTCCTCCAAGTTGCTTATTTCTTTTACTGTGATGCCTGTCTTCTGTTTTTTTTCGAGCACACAGGTGAGGCTTGTCATGTGTAAGCTTCACTGTGGGATTATCTGGTGGCATGTAGGGGAACCTGCCTAGATGTTTTCTCTTAGCAGATCCAGCTCTTGAGAGGAGAGTATAGCAGGGGTAAGGGATGGCTTCCAGCCTTCTTGGAACTGAGCTGGGGAGTCCCCCAGGCAGTGGTCAATAAGTAAAATCCTTATTCCCGGTTTTCTGTTGTTGTTCTCAAATATGCCTAGTGTCTCCAACCCAGAAATCTGTTTCACCATTTCAGCACACTTCTGTGTAAAGAAAGAACCAAATGAAGGGAAGAGAAGGGAGAGGTGTCCCAATAGTAACAGGTTTATTAGGAACAAACCTACGGAGGGGATCCAGTGGAGACTGAGACCTGTCTTCCGACTTCTGCTTTCAGCCTGGGATCATTATAAGGACATGAGAGAGTGGGAGAAATTTTGCATTTAGGCTGTTGCTAGGGGGTTGTCAGGAAAGGATTGCTTGTGGTCTCACCTCCATTATTGAAGTGGTCATTGTTTCAGGTGGAACCAAGATGACAGAGTATTGTCTGGGGGTTTAGTCGGAGTAACTGGGAGGTGACTCTTGTTCGAAGATGAAGGATATGTTTCAAAATGGTAATACCTGTGTCAAGTTCTCCCTAACATTCTGGACATCCAGAATGGGAGAGCAGCACTGGTCTACTGCAAGTGACATAGAGTTGTGGGAACCACCTAAGGCAGTGCTTCCTGTGCACACAAATCACGTGGGATCTAGTGAAGAGGTAAGGGCTGATGCGGTAGCTCCGGGCTTGAGTCTGAGGTCTGCTATCTAGTAAGGTTTTTGCTGCTGGTCTGAGGTGAGATCAAACTTCCAGCAGCAAGGACCCAAGACTTCTCTAACAGCTTTTCACCTGGCCCTCCTTACTTTCCATGAATTCTTCATCACTATCATCACCCCAGTTCTAAAGCTTCTGGCTGCTGCCTTCAGGATTCTGTGGTGTGTGTGGAGTTGGTTCTCAGTTTTATCTTTATCGTTGCTGACACAAGGCCCAGCTTTCTCAGGTTGATAGAGTCAGTTGCTACTGGCTTACCAGCTTACTAGCTTCCAAAATGTCACTGTCCCCTTCTTTCATTTTCCCTCTATCTTTTGGGGGTGGGGGGCGTAATTCTTTCATTTTGTGGTGCGGTGGGGGTTGGTCAGAAAGAAGCAAAATTGTGTGTGTTCTGCCATATTAACCCTAACTCTAACCATCTGCTAAAGTATTTCCCTCAATTTGGTTATATCTGTGTAAATAGAGTTTGTTTTGTAATTCATAACTACTGTAGTATGCCTCTGGGTCTTTGCATACAGTGTTCTCTAATTCTCTTTCTCTTTTGTCTGCCTGCCGAATTCTTTATTATTATTATTATTATTTTTATTTTCTTTGCAGTGTTGGGGATTGCTAGGCAAGCACTCTACCACCCAGCTGCACCCACAGCCCTATCTGACACAGTCTTCAAGACCCAGATCCAGGGCTGGCTTCTGTGAAGCCCCCTTTGTTTCAGAGTTGTTATAGCTGTTGTGTTGTCATGATTCTTCCCGTAGCCAGCTGTTTATACAGTAATCCAGCTATGCAGTATTTTCCAAAGATTGTGAACTCCTCAGGGTAGGCTTGTGTCTTTGCATCTCAGTACCCAGTACAATTAAGAGCTTATGGATACCTAACAATTGAATTAATTTCTGTGCATGTCTATATTTTTCTTTTTTAAAATTTTCTGCTCTCTCTGTCTTTTCTTTATATTAAGAGGCTATTATATCACATGTTCAAGGCCAACCTGGGCAACTGAGCAAGACTTCATCTCAAAACAAAATAAAAAGTTTGGGAAATAGGGCACTTGCCTAACATGTGCAAGGCTCTTGGTTCAATCCTTCAATTCCCAGTCCTGGGTGGGGAAGAAAAGTCAATGATTAGTATAAATATAAGTTCTCAGTTTCTAAAAACTACCCTATTAATTTAGATTTAAATATTATATAGACGTCCATTTTACATCTAAATATCAATAAAAGACAAAATTTCCCTTAGCCTTAATGAAGGCAAAATAATTACCCCTGACTAAAGTGATCTATTGAAGGAGTTTGAATTTAAAATATTTAAATAAATTAAATGTAAATCTTTTTTAGTTTCAATTTTTTTTTTTTAAGTCTACCAAGCTTCCAGGGCTCCTTTCAAATTTCTTGCCTATAAGACCTTTTTAGAGCAAATGAACTACCGTTAAAATTTAACCCAAACTTTGGATTGTGCAGAGGGGAGTGAGGGGAGGGGCAGGGGAATGGGGATGGGAAAGATGGTGGAATGAGGTGGACATTATTACCCTATATACATGTAATGATTACACTTCTGGTCTGATTCTGCATCATGTTCAGCCACAGGAAGGAGAAGTTGTGCTCCATTTGTGTACAATGTGTCAAAATGCATTCTATTGTCATGAATAACTAATTAGAACAAAAAAAAAATTTAACCCAGAAATTGTTAATAACACCATAGTCTAGTCAGCATATAATTTAAATAATGGAATCAATAAAAATGTACAATCACGCTCACCATTGCTAGCTTAGTGTGAATTTCAGACATCATGTCAGCTCTCAAAGTTTTGTAGACCAAATAATTTTTCATCACCTAACAAAACATAAAAATGCCTTTCAAATTGAAAATCTAGTATCACTTGCATTATTTAAGAGCATGTTTAAGTAATTTAATATTAGAGCTTTTACATTAAGCTACTATAAACATGCTATATTTTAGTTGATTCAATTGCAATTATACAGAACGTTGGCATTTTTACTTAAATTTACTTTTTACTATTATTCATTTAAAAATATTTTTCACTGCCAGGCACTGTGGCGCATGCTTGTAATTCTAGTGCCTCATGAGGCAAAGGCAGAAGGATTGCAAGTTCAAAGCCAGCCTTAGGAACAGTGAGGCGCTAAGCAACTCGGTGAGATCCTGTCTGTAAATAAAACACAAAATAAAGACTGGGGTTGTGGCTCATTGGTAGAGTGCTTGCCTAGCATGCACGAGGCACTGGGTTCGATTCTCGCACCACATAAATGTAAAATAAAGATATTGTGTCCACTTAAAACTTAAGAATAAATATTTTAATAAATAAAAAATAAAATACAAAATAGGGCTGGGATGTATGTGGCTCAGTGGTTGAGTGCCCCTGAGATTAATCCTCAGTACCAAAAAATTATATATATATATATGTTGTTTTTTTTTCCACAGGCCTGGGCTGTAGCTTAGTGGTAGAGTGCTTGCCTAGTATGTGTGAGACTCTGGATTCGATCCTCAGCACCACAGAAATAAAGCTATTGTGTCCATTTACAACTAAAAATAATTTTAAAAATATTTTTCACAGGTAAAAAAAATAAGTGGATTATTATTTAAAGTGAGCTTCAGGGAATAACATGTTGGCATTCCATCATAAATATTCAAGGATGATTTCAAAAATACATTTTAGTTTGTAATTCCGTAAAGGTCATTTCTTTTCTAAAATTTACTTTGCAATTCATGATTTTTCTCTGCATCTGTTAATAGCATAATCCAATGTATATCCCCTTTATACCTATTTCAGAAATTGTGAGTGACAAAATGAATGTAAATTGGGACGTTGATTCCCGCTAATCTTTTGGTCTTCATCTTCTTTGATAACCAGCTATTGATTTCTGACTTTTGAAGATGGATGAAGGTATAGAAATTTCAAGTGATGGAAATTCCTTGATCAAAGCAGTCCATCAGAGCCGACTTCGCCTCACAAGACTTTTGCTAGAAGGTGGTGCCTACATCAATGAGAGCAATGACCGCGGGGAAACACCTTTAATGATTGCTTGTAAGACCAAACATGTCGATCACCAGAGTGTCAGTAAAGCCAAAATGGTGAAGTACCTGTTAGAAAACAGTGCTGATCCCAATATACAGGACAAATCTGGGAAAACTGCCTTGATGCACGCTTGCTTAGAAAAAGCTGGTCCAGAAGTTGTTTCTTTGCTCCTAAAGAGTGGGGCTGACCTCAGCTTGCAAGACCATTCTGGTTACTCAGCTCTTGTTTATGCAATAAATGCAGAAGACAGGGAGACCCTGAAAGTTCTCCTTAGTGCTTGCAAGGCAAAGGGGAAAGAGGTCATCATTATAACCACTGCAAAATCACCCTCTGGGAGGTACACTACCAAACAGTACCTAAACGTGCCTCCTGCAGACATCGATGGGTGTCATTCCCCAGCCACCTGCACCACTCCTTCTGAGATAGACATCAAAACAGCCTCATCGCAACTTTCACATTTTTCTGAAACTGAACTGACGCTTTTTGGCTTTAAAGACCGGGAGGCCTGCGGAAGCAGTGATGATATCTGGGAACCAAGCTCCCCTGTGAGGAAGCCTGCAGTGTCCCCTAATGGGCCCAAGCTATCCCAGGGTCCAGCCTGGATCAAAAGTACCCCGTTATTAAAGCACCAGAACAGAGTGGCCTCCTTGCAAGAGGAGCTCCTGGATATGACACCAGAGGAAGAATTCTCCTCCAAAACCAATGGGCTGGCACTTTCTAAGCGATTCATCACAAGGCACCAAAGCATTGATGTAAAAGATACTGCACATTTGCTCAGAACCTTTGATCAGGCTGGTTCGAGGAAGATGTCATATGATGAAATAAATTATCAATCTCTGTTTCCAGATGGAAATCAGCCATGCGTTGAAATTCCTGTTGACCAGGACCCAGACCCTAACCAGACGATATTTACCTCCACCTTGAGAAGCATAGTTCAAAAAAGAAACTCAGGGGCAAATCACTACAGCTCTGATTCCCAGCTCTCCGAAGGCCTTATTCCACCAACTTTAGAAGATGGCAAAGCATTTACAGGAAAAAAGAAGATCCTCTCGCCATCTCCTTCACTGTTGTCAGGCTCCAAAGAATTGTCAGAGACCATCCCCTCAGGGCCCCTGAGCAGGAGAAATCATGCAGTTTTAGAAAGGCGGGGTTCTGGAGCTTTCCCTTTAGATCACAATATTATGCAGACCAGGCCTGGGTTTCTGCCACCCTTAAATGTAAATCCTCACCCTCCCAACTCAGATGTCAATGTCAACAATAGGATTTGCAGCCTTCTTTCTTGTGGTCAAAAAGTGCTTATGCCAACAGTTCCTATTTTCCCTAAAGAATTAAAAAGTAAAAAAATGTTGTTAAGGAGACAGTCTTTGCAAACAGAACAAATTAAGCAACTGGTAAATTTTTAAGAGAAGGCTACAAAACACATTGTCTTCAGATGTCTGTGTCAGAGAAATACACACCTAGAAAAGAAAATGTCCATCCTTTTAAGTCTTGTAATTGGTTAGCCCATTGTGGTTAGGTAGACTAAAATATTATATGTTTTGAATTAAGCACTGTGAACACATGCATATTGTATAGCTTCTGCTAAGGGAATTCTCTCAAACAAAATGAAAGCTATTTTTCTCAAAGCTTCCAATATTTATCAGCCTTCATGTGGTCCAGGTTTTCCATTTAAACAAAAATGAGCAAAGAAAGGTCACAATATTTTGAAGATTTTAAAAAAATTTTTCAGAGATGTTTTTATTAGGAAACAATGTTTTCAAGTCATAATTATTTACCATTTCATGTCAACAAATAAGGTGGTGATTTTCCACAATGCAAAAAGCATAAAAGAAAACGACAGCTCTAAAATGTTCTAACTTCAATCAACCCAAGCTACAAAGAAAGAAAGATCAAATTCTGAAAAAAAAAATGTTGACTGCAGGTAGGTTAAGAGTTAATTTAAAAATTTAAAAGGTCAAAACACTATAGTTAAAATAGGCCACCCGTATTCGTCGTGTCAGCTAAATCAGTATCAAACTGGCAGGGTCAGGGATTTTACAAGCTACTAATAACCTATGCCAAGTTTTTTGTGTGCTTTTTATTTTGCTTTGGTTGTTTTTAAACAACCTTATATACACTGCTGTCTTATGGTATTATTCTTGTACCACATCTTTTAATTCCTGTTATTTTTGGAAGTAGCGTCTACAGGTTTCCAATAACAAGATAATACAGAATTCAAAAAGCATTCTTCCTAAATTACATCAAAATATACTTGTCTTCCAAAAAGAAAAAAAAACAACCAACAAGAAAAAAAAAAAGGTTGACATTTATCACAAACAGAAAATAATGCTTGCTTCATTTTAAAAAAGAAAGGCCAATTATTAGATTAGTTTAGGTAAACTTAAAATTAAGAAAGCCAGTAGAAACTTAATGACAAAATGTGTTAAATATTTGGTCAATATTAAGCAATATCTTTTAATTTCAATATGCAGTTATTAGACATTCATATAATAAAGATACATAAGGATAACCTCAGTGTGACATTCTAATCACGTAGTATTTTAGGACCTGTGCATAACTTCTAAAAAGATAAATGCTACTATTATAAAATATTTAAAAATGATTACATTATCTACATAACTTTAAAGTATGGTGTTTATACAAAGATTACTTACTTCTTTCTAGCAATTCTAAAACAGAATAAACCAAACTATACAAAACCTGAGTGTACTAACCAGAATATTGTCATATACAATATTATTTTTTTGCATTCTGTAATGGGGGAGATCTTAACAATTGGCATGATGCTCTTCTTGGTAATTTGACAAAAGCAAGTTGTAATGTACATAGTGATTATTTATGTCTCGTGGCTTTTATTTTAAAAAGTAATGGGAGGTTTTTCATTTGATGTTTTGAAAAAAATAATATTCATCACATTAGAAATATTTTTTTATTCAGAATTTAAAATTGCACCAGAGGTTCTTAAGTAGGTAAATGTTTTTTGTGAGTTAATGTCAAGAAAAATGCTTGTGTTCAAGTTGTAAGGATACAGTTTAAATGAATATGTAAATAGATTAGTTCATAAACAAAATGGTATCAATAAAAATTTAAAATATCATCTTGATTATTGCTGATTTTTATTTATTTCTTAAATACTAATAATAAATATTTCTACAAATTTCAATGGAAACAGCCACATATGTTACTTTGAAGAAATACAAAATCAAGAAAAACCTGATATTCTCATTCCAACATGACAAAATTTTTATGGGATTAAAAATTTGGGGCCATATTTGGAAGAATTTTTCACCTTATAGCCATCTTCAGAACATTGTAGGTGCTGAGATTTTTGGAGTACAATTGTAAAGTGATCCCATGGGACTTTTCACTCCATAAAGTGGAATATATACTGTGGGTACCAATGTGCAGATATTTGCAGTGTGTGCGTGTGTACGTGTGTGTAAGATCTATTTCAAATTATATTTTTAACTTTATGTAAGTATGATTTCATGTGAAATTCTGATGGTACTTCATTAACAAGTTTTACAGGTACCATTTTCAGTCTCTTGGGACTGGTACTTCCAAGAATGTAGCTGACACTAATAGTAAGAATTGTTCAGTAGAGGACATCGGGCAGTCCCAGTTACTGAGACAAGTGTTGACAATGTGCATCCAATTTGATTCCCATATGGCTTACTTGAGAGAGAGAGAATGAACTGGTGAGGGTGATGAGAAGTATATTCCTCAGGTTTTTAAATTTTTTTATTTCCTGATGCTTTGACATCCTAGGGTCTTGTTGATACTCTTACCTGAATAATAATAAAACTTTTTTTTTTAACGGGTCTTGCTGTGTGTTACCCAGGCTGACTTCAAATTCCTGGGCTGAAGCAATACTCCTACTTCAGCCTCCCAAGTAGCTGGGACTATAGGCACATCACTGTGCCCAACTCAAAACCTACATTATAAAACAAGAAGGGTCTAGCCCAATGAGAAGTCATAATTCTTAATAGATTAACATTTGAGTTTATATAGCCTTCTTTGGTGCCAGAACTCCTTATATTGTGTACCTTCTTTGAATGTCTATAATTTCTTCCTTCCTTCCTTCCTTCCTTCCTTCCTTCCTTCCTTCCTTCCTTTCTTTCTTTTGTTGTAGATGGATACAATACCTTTATTTATTTATTTCTATGTGGTGCTAAGGATTGAACCCAGTGCCTCACATGTGCTGAATAAGCGCTCACTGGAGCTACAACCCCAGCCCATTTCTACAGTTTGTTTGTTTGGTTGTTTTTTGCTGTACTAGAAATAGAACCCAAAGGTGTTCTACCACTCAGCTGTATTCTCAATCTTTTTTTTTTTTTTTTAAGTTTTGAGACAGGGTCTCACTAAATTGCTGAGGCTAGCTTATGATCTCCTGCCTCAGCCTCCCGAGTTGCTAGGATTACAAACATGTGCCTCGGATACAGAATGTCTTCAATTCTTAAAAGGTAGGAAAAGAAAAAACAAACAAACAAACTGAAAAGAATAGTTAATGTTGCAATTAACAACATTAACCAAAATAAAAATTTTAAAGAACCTTAATTGGCTAGAACACTGGAACAAAACCAATAGGCTAAAAGCTTAACAGTCATGGATCTCATATGTTTAGGTTTTGAAAATCAGTTGCATAAGATTAAGATGATCGACAATTAATAAGGGAAAAATATGACACTTATTTAATTCCTAGCTTAATATAATTCAAGTATGATGGGATTGCCAACAGGGATAAGACTATGTTATTAAAAGATTAATCAGTGCCTTCTACTGATTCTGCACTCATAGGTCATATCTGAAACAGTGGTTTTAATTCTAGATACCAAATATTAAACCAAAGTATATACATAAGAAAATGAAAAAGATGGTAAAGGCACCTTTTTTTTTTTTGTTTTGTTTTTGTTTTTTGTTTAGTACTAGAGATTTAATCCAGGGCACTTTACAACTGAGGTTACTACAGAGCCACCTCCCCAGCCATATATATATATATGGCTGGGGAGAGAGAGAGAGAGAGAGAGAGAGAGAGAATCACTAAGTTGTTTAGGGACACCTTAAATTGCTGAGGCTGACCTTGAGCTTCTGATCCTCCTGTCTCAGCCTCTGAAGTTGCTAGGATCATGGGTGTGCACCATCACCTACCCTGAAAATGTTTTAAATAGGTTGAATAATTAGTGTTGTTTAGCCTATAGATAAAAGGACTCAATTGAAGTGAGCGAGTTGGTCTACAATACTCTAAGGACTGGTGATTGACTTAGTCCAGAATCCTCCAGATAAAAACAAACTAGGACCAGAAAATGAAGTTACAGAAACATTTCAGTTCCCTTGCAGCTACTAAAAACTCTCTTTCTATGGAGAAGCCTGTTCTAGAAAGATGTGAACTGCCATTTCTGGAAATAAGCAGAGAGGATGTTGATCAGACATTTGACAAAAGAGATTCTCCTTTCAACCAGAAGGTTCTTTGAGATAGCCTTTTCTTATTAATAGCATTATGTAAAGTCGGGACAAGTTGAAAACTAATTGTCAAAAATAGATTTTGGGATTTCAATCACCCACAAGACTTTTTAGCCATATTTTTGTGTTTATTAAGTGTTGATAATAGTGGCACAAATTTTGATTGCCAGGCAAAATATTTCAATTCAAAGGGGCTTCCTGTCAATTTGAAAAGAAATTTCCTTTGGCATCCAAGGGAAAAACACTTCCACCAAAGGACATAACGATGTTCCACTACTCACTCTGGATTCCTTTCAAAATGGGGTCATAGTGTTAGTTGGAGTGATTCTCAGAACTATAAAATCAGAGATAGAAGGAATGTGATGGAATCTGAGGCACACACAGGGGCACCTTATATTATCATGTCCTGTGGTAAACGTGAACTATCACAACCCCATTAAGACATCATCCTCAAGTCCTCAGAACCCGCAGGGTTGGGGCACACCACCACAAACTTTTTCAACTATCAGTCCCTGCACAAAACTGTCAGCAGCAGAAGAAGTCCAACTCTGTCTGGGGCAGTCATGGAAGAATCCTTGAAGGAGCCCCAGCTTGGAAGCAGAGCTCAACAGGTTCTGTGAAGAGCACAAGCCCTCTACTCTAACACAGAGGTTGGTTGGTTTGCTGTTTCTTTTTTATTTTTTTACTGTATGGGGACGTTTTTGGGCATCATGCATGCTAGGCAAGTCTACCACTGAGCTACACCTACATGTCGAAAGCATTTGTTGTTGTTTTAATTGGCCCTTGAATTGACAAAAGTAGCAACAGACTTTCACAAACAAAATTTCAGTTAAATTTCCAAAACTGTTATTCTTTCATTCCACAGAAGGGATTAAGAAGAAAGGGACAATGACTAGCCTTATTGAAGCTTTTGCAGCACCAGTCAGACGGATCCAGGACAGTTCAGTCACCAGGTGAGTCCGACTGGTACTTCTAGCAAGACAGGAACACAGGCAACATCCTTAAGAGGACAGGAGGCTGGGAGCCCCTCTAGCCTGCCTGCTTTCTTTCCCTCCAATCATGGGACCATGTGGGTAGCTTTATTAAGATTACTGTGTTAATCAACTTTTCAGTGCTGTGACCAAAAGACCTGACAAGAACAACTTAGAAGATGAAAAATTTATTTTGGTCCATGGTTTAGAGGTTCAGTCCATGGTCACATGATTCCATTGCTCTGGGCCCAAGATGAGGCAGAACATCAAGATGAAAGGGCATGGTGCAGGAAAGCTGCCCAGTTTATGACAGCCAAGAAGCGGAGACAGCTTTAAAGTACAAGAAGCCAGACATAGTATAGTCCCCAAGTCCATGCCCCCATGACCTACTTCCTCAGCCATGCCCTATCAGCCTACAGTATCACCTATTAATCCATTCAAATAATTAATTCATCAAATGGATCAATCACTAAATTAATCTAATAATGTCACCTCTGAATGTCCCTGCATCTACTCATCCATGAGCTTTGGGGGACACCTCATGTCCAAACCGCAATAATTATGAAATAATTTAAATATGTAGTAAAGTAAAAATTACTTAGGTGGGGAGAAGTATATACACAGTGGGGAGAGCAGGGAAGATGGTCTTTAAAAAACTGATAGGATTAATATTTTTAGAAAAATCTTTCTTAAAATGGAAGATAAGTTCAGAATCAGGCAGATGGAGTTTTCACTCCCCCTCTCCCCAAAGTTGATATGAAGTAGAAAAATCTGTGAGCTACTGAGAAATAAAGCCACACCTGGCCTCTTTTCTATTTGGGTCAGTGGTATCACCTGATCTTCTGACATCCAACCTAAAAACGCTAGACCCCTCCCTCTCCCCATACTCATTTGACTAGTTTTAAACTTTGTAGAATTCTTCCTTTTTAGCCTTTTCTCTGTTGAGCTTCTCCATCCCCCTCTGCTTCCATTATAATTCTGCCCTTCATCTTCTCTCACTTTGAGAATCCGGAGTCTCCTAATTTGTCTCTCTCCTCCTCTGTCACTCTGATCACTTTTCTAACACTCAAAATTGATTATAACCTTTCTCTACTTAAAAGGTGCAGGGCCGGGCGTGGGGGGAATGGGGGGGATGGGGTTGTGGCTCAGCAGTAGAACGTTCACCTAGCATGTGTGAGGCCCTGGGTTCAATCCTCAGCACCACATAAAAATAAATAAAGGTATTGTGTCCAACTAAAAAATAAATATTAAAAAAAAGGTGCAATGCCTCCCACTGCCTAAGACAAAAGATACAAAGTTTAGTACAGAAAAGGAATGTAGGCCCTGCCTCAGAGTCTAGTATCCCACAGGTAATTTTTAAAAATGTCTATGTCAGATCAGTATCTTCCCCACTGGCTGGTGTGCCCCCTCCGACTGCAAGGCTCTTCCTATGAGTGAACCCAATTCATCTTTCAACACACAGCCCAAGTGTGCCCTCCCTGCTGTCTCCTTCAGGCTCTCACCACACCCAGATCTATCTGAGGAGTTTTAGCAAGTGTGCAACTCATCATTCACCTCTCTCTCTCTCTCTCTCTCTCTCTCTCTCTCTCTCTCTCTGTCTCTCCCCATTAGAACATAAGCTCCTTAGGGTAGGAACCTCAGCACATCAGACAGAGAGATTTGATGCCTGTTTCCTTCCTTCCTCAGAGTTCCTACTGAGCTGGGAGGATTCATGGGATTCTCATTAAAAAAATAAAACAGGTGACTGGTGCCCAGACCAAAGGATGATGGGTATAAAGAGGGGAGAGAAGTAATTACAGCAAGTAGAAGGCTGACATTGATTGGGCCACTGGAACACTATACCCTGAGCTCCTGCTGCTGAGGTCCCCAGAGCTCCCTAGGATCCCTCCCTACTACTTGAAGACCTCATTATCAGCTATTCTTGGCTCCACTTATTCATCATCCTCTCATTTTCTATAGAAAGAATTTCTTTACACTACTGTCATTTTTTTTGCATTGATTCATGACTGTATGACTATAAGTAGGTTATAAGCTCCTACTAGGTAGACTTACATCTTAGTTAATGAAGTTAGAGAGCATTTTTCTATATATTCACTAGATATCCAATTAAATATGGGTGTGTGTGTGTGCAAAGAACCAAAATCTTAGCAAATAAGCAAATAAACAAACTGTTCCAAATTACTTTTAATAATTTCCCACTGGATAAATTAGTACATATTTGAATAATTAGCAATTCTATCACTCTTACAGGGCCAAAATCAACTGTGCTTTTCTTTAATTTTTTATTAGTTCATTATATTCATACATAACAGTGGAATTCATTTTGACATATTCATAAATGCATATAACATCATTTGTTCTATTTTAATACCTTGCTCACTCACCCCCTCCCCTGATTCCCTTTCTCTGCTCTATTGGTCTTCCTTCTATTATTCATTATTTTTAAATTGGTGTGTAATAGTTCTACAAAATTAATTGTGATATACTCATATATGCTCTTATGGTTTAGATATTTTAGATGTTCCCCAAAAGCTCACATATGAGACAATGCAAAATGATTCAGTTATGAGAGTCTTATCCTAATTAGTGCATTAGTACCTAGTAGGGATTAACTGGGTGGTAAATATCTGCAAGTAGGGTATGGCCGGAGGAGGCGGGTCATTGAGGGCGTGCCTTTGGGGTGTATATTCTGTCCCTGAAGACAGGAGCTTGTGTTGAGAGCCACAGCCAAAGGGGCCCCAGCAAACTTTCAGACTGCCAGCTGATGATTGGCTCACAGCAGCCCCAGCAGCTTCTAGCTGATTGGGTCCTCTGCGGTGATGCTCATTTGGCTGTTTCCCCACCCGGAGCTGCTCATTGGGGGACTTTTTTGGCTCTGCCCACACGACCCAGCCAATCGGCCTCAAGAGCAGGAGGAGTGGGGGAGGTTGAGAGGCTTGTGGGAAGCCGGTGGTGGCAGTTGGGCTCTGAAGGTTTTTCCTGAGGAGCTGTTTTGTTTGTTTTGTTTGGCATGTGTGGTTCTAAAAATAAAGTTAGTTTCTTTTGACAAGTGGCTCCTGAATTGTGCCCAGCCAGACTGCTGCAAGCTTGCTCTGATTCCTGATGTCATGTTCCTAGCTGCTTTCCTCCCCTATACTCTTCCGCCATGATATTCTGCCTCACCTCGGGTTCCAAAGAAAAAAAGTCGGCAGGCGATGGTCTAAGACTTCTGAAATTGTGAGTCCTAAAGTAGACTTTTTCTCCTCTAATTATTCTTGTCAGGTCTTTTGGTCACATCAGGGAAATAACTGACTAAAATCATGCACATAGCATAAGTTAGTCATTCTGAATTTTTGAACAACTGAATGAATCTCTTATCAGAGTTAGGGTTAGGGTTGCTCTGCCAGTCTTGGGCAATAGCATTTGGAGTCTTTGGGATCTCAATATGTTAGACTGGAGACTAGAGAAGGGACAAGTAGTTAATACTTAACCATTTACCTATTTTTGTGTTTGAACTTCTTTCTAAAATTTTTCTATAAATATAAATACATACAATTTTACATAAATAGTATGATACCATAATGTTCTTTTACAACCTGCCAATATAGATCGTAACATCTTTCCACATGAAATTCATATATATAATTTACATACAGTAAAATGTACAATTCAATAATTTTTTGACTACATACACATTGAAATAACCACAAGAACAAGATACAGAACATTTTCACCAACCCCAAAACATTCCCATATGCCTCATCTTAGAAAATAACCTACCCATGCCCATGGCTAACCACTGTTCTGACTTCTATCCCAATATACTAGTTTGGGCTCTTCTTGAACTTCATATAAATGGATGCTTATACTATGTGGCTCATGTAAACTGTTCCTTTTGCATGTTTTTAATATTTACCCTTTTGTTTTACGTATCAGTAGTTCAAACATTTTTAGTAATTTTGCCATTTAGCAATCTTCTAATTGATGGAAAGTTGGTTGTTTCTAGTTTATTTTTGGCTAAGAATATAGTTGTTATGAACATTCTTTTTTTAAAATTTTTTTTAGTTGTAGATTGACACAATATTTTTATGTGGTGCTGAGGACAGAACCCAATGTCTCACATGTGCAAGGCAAGCACTGTACCATTGAGGTAGAGCCCCAACCCCATGAAAATTCTTGTGGAGATCTTTTTATGCACACATATTAGCTCTTTCCTCTTGAATTTATGCTACAGTGAGAATGGCTGGGCCCTGGGTATAGATACTGTCTTTATAAGAAGCTGCCAAACTGCTTTCCTTTCTTTCCTACAATGCACCATTGGTCCTCATTAACATTCTTAGCCTTTCTGCAAGGCAGGGTGTCACACGCCTATAATCCCAGCAGCTCCCTAGGCTGAGGTGGGAGGATAGCAAGTTCAAAGCCAGCCTCAGCAACATGGTGAAGCCAGCAGCAACTTTGAGAGACCCCATCTCAAAATAAAATAATAATAAAAGGTGGCTGGGGATGTGGCTCAGTGGTTAATGCCCTGGGTTCAATCTCTGGTACAATTAAAAAAAAAATTAGCCCTTCTCATTGGTATATATTGGTATTCCATTGTGGTTTAAATTTGCCTTTACTGGATGAATAATGCGATTGTGAACCTTTTCATATTCTTTTGGCCATTTGACTATCTTCTTTTGTGAAGCATCTTTTCAAGTCTTTTCTCATTTCTAATTAGTTTTTTTGGCTTTTTCTTATGAGTTTACAGGAATTTTTCATATATTTTAAATATAAGCCCTGTCAGGTATGTGTCAATGGTGGTTTTTTGATGAGAAGTTTTAAAATTTGATAAAGTTCATTTATCATTTTTTTCTTTCCTGGTTTGTGCTTTCTGGTTATTAAAAACAAAAGCCAAAAAAAAAAATCTTTTGCCTACTCCAAAGTCACAAAAATATTCTTATTCTCTTTTAAATGCTTTATAGTTTTAGCTTTCACATTTAGGCCTAAGATCTCAAATTACTCATGTATGGTGTGAAGTAGGGATTCAAGGTTATTTTTCCCATATGGATTGTCATTCAAAATTTACTTTAACAGAATACATTTTATAACTCCCTTAGGTGTTTTTTGTCCCTAAGAACACCTTTACATCTTAATCTAAGTGCCATTCTGCTTATAGATTTCTCAATATAAAGGAATTATAATATTAATATTTAAAAATATTATCAAGGGTAAGATAATAAAGTAGCAATTCCTTCTGGACAAATAAATTTTATTTCAAATTTCATCAAAATGCAGTTTATTTATTAAGTCAAGTCTTTGTACAAAAGTAATTAATGTATGTCATTGTAGAAAACAAAATTTTTACTGTAATTAAAAAAATTTTATTACAATTGTAAAAATTTTAATATGAAATTGCACCTTTCACTTTTAGCAAACAACCACAGAAAATGAAATTTTAGGTATTATATGACAAATAGCACTGTGCTCAACTAGAGATGAATATTAAAGTAGAAATACTGTAACTATTTAAGTATATGTCTACAGTGTTTTGTGTTGTATCTTTTAGAACCAGCTATCTATAATGTACATAATCATAAGTTGTCTTTTTTTGTTTAAAGAAACTATCTGTAGGGCATTAACTGTGTGATAGGCATTGAGTTAGATGTCTGTGTAATGTCTCACTTAATCCTCACAACTTTCTGAGAGAATGCTCAATTTACTCCCCACTTTATGGATGAGGAAGGTGAGAGTTGATGTCATTAACATTGCCCAAAGTCTGTGGCTAGTAAAGGACAAAAATGGGGCTGTAAAGAAAATCTGTCTGCATTCAAAACCAAAACTATTTTTTTCTCTATAGAAAACTAATTGATTTTCTGGGAGAAAAAAATAATTGATTAACAAAAGGCAAATTATACCTTAGGGCATTCTTTGGAAAACATTTGGTAAATTATTATTATACTAAGCCCACTGAAGTCTCTTCTTATCAAATCTTTTATATAAATGAAGCATTACAAGGACATATGTCTAACAGAGTAAGCATATAATAAGCACTTTTTGATTAGAAAAACTGAGCACAAGCCTATTATCATGATATGGCAATTAATTCAGACCAAAGCAGAGGATTACGAAACCAAAACAGAAAATAATTTAGAAGATGTTCTTCTTAGAGAGTAAATTTGATTCCAATGGCCTGTTTAAATTCATGGTTTTGTGGTTCCAAAATGTCATAGAAAACTTGACTTTTATTAAAATGGTCTCGAATATAAAGTAAATCTTCAATGGAATAGTTATCATTTTTTCCAGCCCAAATTGTCAGACTGTACCTGTATTAAAATAAAACAGAACTATATTGTTAAAATGAAAATAAGAAACATAAATGAGCAATTCCCATAAGCCTAAAAATATTCCCATTTGTCTCTGAATCAAAAGCACACAGATGAAAAAATTAATTAGCAATGGTGTAATTAATATTTTTCTATTTCATTCCTTCATCAAAGAGACTAAAGACAAAAAAATTCACACTAATGTTGTCTAAATTATATCACCTCTCTATGTGAATTAAATGGCTTTGGAAACTCACACTGATGGTAATGAAAATGGGTCTAATTTGGGGAAAAGGAACTGAAGAGACTGTGTTGCTAATCAAGGAATCCATCCCCCCACATACAAATTCCAGCTATAACCTGGTCAGAGTGCAAAGCACAACTGGAAAAGAGCATAAATGTTACTGACATTCCCAACACTCATAGTCACCATAGTCAACCCATTCATTATCCCTTTTGGGGGTTTGTATGTGATGTGAGAATGCCAAGAGATGTCATTAAGAATAACAGAACACTGGACTGGGATTGTGGCTCAGCAGTAGAGCGCTAGTCTAGCACAGGCAGGACCCAGGTTCGATCCTCAGCACCACATAAAAATAAAGGCATTGTGTTGTGTCCATCTACACCTAAAAAATAAATGTTTTTTTTTTTTTTTTTTAAAGAATAACAGAACAGTGGCTGGGGTCCTGGCTCAGTGGTAAAGCACTAGCCTAGTACATAAGGGGCCTTGGGTTTGATCCTCAACACCACTTATAAATAATAAAATAAAGGTTTTGTGTCCACCTACAAGTAAAAGCATATTTTAAAAAACAATAACAGAATAAGTTTATATCACTTTCTGAGGAGTTAAAAAACAACATATGCAAATTTGTATGGATATATGAATATGCTCAGAATCTAAATGTTATTTACACTCCACATTTTCATTTCTTCCAGTGATAATACCACTATTGCATTAGAGTCTAGGGAAATGCAAAGCTGTTAAGCTCATATTTATTTTCTCATAAACATGTCAGAATTAAGGGAAAAATCTTTAAAGCATTTCTTCTACTAATGATAAGAAATAACTGCCTGAGGCATCTGGTCTTAAATTGACACATTCCTGCCCTTAAGAATAGTAACATCATTTTGGAAATATAATAACAAAAGAAAGTACTTTGGATTTTGTTGCATAGCAGCATCATATAACAAATCAAAAAGAATTTTAAACTACATCAAATAACTCAGAATAGAAAAAAATGAAAATTCGTTTTGAAACCTGCATTATTATTATTTATTTTTTTGGCCAAAATGGAATCTACTAATTTATGGGCACCATGGTGACAAACCTTATAAAAAGACACAGATATGGTCATTTAGGTTAAAAGAAGAGCTTTCCAGTGTTATTTTTCTTCATTTAATATTCCTCTATTGTATTTAAACTGAAATGGGAGAAATAAAATTGCTGAATATTAAATTGTACTCATTTGAATCAAGTCATAGGCTTCATTTATTAAACCTTTTTTATTGTGAAAAAACATGCATGGTACATAAAACATAAATGTAGATTTTAACAAATCATTATAAAATGAATGCCAGTGTAGCCGAAATAAAAAGCAAGAAATAGCACATGGCCATCACCTAAGAAGGCACCTGTGCATCCCTGCTCCATCTCAGCCTCCAAGTGTATAAAGTAGGTCTCTTGCTTTAAAAGGAGGGGAAAATAAGAATAAATTCATATTTTACTCTGATGTGCATGAAGAAAATAATAACTGTGGTTAACAAGAAGCTAACAACGATGGTTAGCGAGATTGGGCAGGAGGATTAGGTAGATGGAGAGAGGATTTTCATAGTGTAACCATTTGTTTATTTGGTTTTTGAACCCATGCATTACATATTTAAATAATTATATTAAAAATAATTCAGAAAGACAACAAAAAGGCACAAAAGAAACAGCATGTAATTGTGTGAAAGAAGCTAGTAGTTTTACTCAATATCAATTTTCCTTTTTATATCCACAGTACTAGATGACTTAACTAGTGAATTCTACCAGATGTTTTAGGAAGAATTAACATCAATTCTTCTCAAATCCTTACCAGAAAATTAAAGAGGAAAGAATACTTCCAAATTCATTTTAGGAGGCCAACACTACCCTAATATCAAAGCTAGAAAATGATACTACAAGAAAAGAATATTACAGGCTGATAACCTAAAGAATATGAATGAAAAATTCTCAAAAAAATATAGGCAGACTGAATCCAACAGCACTTTCAAACCATCATATATCACCATCATCTTTATCCCTGTGATGCAAGACAGTTTAAAACATGCCACTCAATAAATGTGGCATGGCACATTAATAGAATGAATGATAATAATCATATAATTGTTCCAATAGGTGTAGAAAAAAGATCTAACAAAATTTAAAATCCTTTCATGATTAAAACTCAACAAGTTAGGTGTACAGAAGGAAAATTCCTAAACATAATAAAGCCCATATATGATATGCACATAACTAACATCATACTCAATATTGAAAAGCTAAAAGTATTTCCTCTAAGAATAAGAACAAGACAAGGATGCCCATTTTCACCAGTTCTCAACATACTGCTGGAAGTCCTAATCAAATCTATTATGGAAAAAAGAAGAAGAAGGAGAAGGAGAAGGAGAGGAAGAGGAAGAGGAGGAAGGAGGAGAAGGAGGAGGGGGAGGGGGAGGGAAGGGGAAGGAGGAGGAGGAGGAGGAGGAGGAGGGGAGGGGGAGGGGGAGGAAATTAAAAATTCACCAAATTGGAAAAGAAGAAATAAAATTGTCTGTGTTTTCAGATGAAATTATCTTATACATATAAAATGTTAAAAGATGCTGGGAACAGTGACACAAGCCTGTAATCCCAGCAGCTCAGGAGGCTGAAGCAGGAAGACTGTGAGTTCAAAGCCAGCCCCAGCAAAAGCGGGGCGCTAAGCAACTCAGTGAGACCCTGTCTCTAAATAAAATACAAAATACAGCTGGGATGTGGCTCAGTGGTCGAGTGCCCCTGAGTTCAATCCCCAGTACCCACTTCAAATCCCTAAAAGACTCCCCAAAAAAGCTGTTAGAAGTAATAAATTCAATAAAGTTATAGGATATAAAAATCAACATATAAAAATCAGTTGCATTTATTTAATTATTATTATTATTATTGTTATTATTATTATTTTAGTTGTAGTTGGACACAATACCTTTATTTCATTTATTTATTTTCATGTGGTGCTGAGGATCGAACCCAGGGTTTCACACACATGAGAGGAGCACTCGACAGCTCCGCTGAGCCACAACCCCTGCCCTCACTTGCATTTCTATATACCAACAACACACTGGCCAAAAAAGAAATTAAAAGAGACATTCTGATTACAAGAGTATCAAAAAGAATAAATTACTTAAGAATAAATTTAACAAAGGAGGTGAAATATCTGTAGACCAAAACCTACAAAGCATTAATGAATGATATTAAAGATGGCACAAATAAATAGAAAGATAACTTGTGTTCAGGGATTAGAAGAATTAATATTGTTAAAATGTCTATACTACTCAAAGCAGCCAATAAAATCCCTATCAAAATACCAATGGCATTTTTCATAAGAACAGATCAATCCTAAAATTCATGTGGAACCATGGAAGATTCAAATAGCCAAAGCAATCGTGAGCAAAAAGAATAAAATTGGAGGCACCTGACTCCTAATTTAAAATGACATTAAAAATACTTGAATATGAATGAAAAATCCTCAAAAATACAGGCAGACTCCTAAAATTACATTATAAAAATTACAAAAAAAATTTTAAATTACATTACAAAAAAATCTACAGTAATCAAAATAGTACAGCATTAGCATAAAAACAGACACACACACACATCAATGGAACAGAACCAAGCCCAGAAATAAATCCACAGATTTACAGTAAACTGATCTTCAACAAAGTCTATAAAGTATGAATATAGACATTATCTGGTTACAAGACAATGAAGCTGGAAATTAACAAAATGAAAAAATTCTACCACTGAGGTGCCTAAAAAATTTCCTTCTAAATACCTTTGAGACAAAAGAGAAAAAGTTACAACTACAGATTATTTATAAATGAATAAGATGAAAAGCTACATAACAGTGATAGAATACAGCTGAAGAAATGGAGAGAGGGAAAAAAAAGCAGTCTTAAATGCTTATGTTGATAAATATAAATAATGACTATAAATATATTATCAAATATAAAAATGAATATCAGTAAGCTAAGAATCCAAATGAAGAAAAGAAACTACAGAAAGTAGAATCTCAATTAAGATTAAAAAGCAGAAAATAATAAGTCAGAAGCCATAAAAATAAATAAATCCAAAAGTTGATTCTTAAAAACAAAATAAACTGGGGCTGGGGTTGTGGCTCAGAGGTAGAGATTTTGCATACCATGCGTGAGGCACCGGGTTCAATCCTCAGCACCACATAAAAATAAAATAAATATATTGTGTCCACCTATAACTAAAAAATAAATATTAAAAAAAATAAAAATAAACTAAAAAAGAAAAAAAAATTCACATAATCCAATCAAGACACTAGTGGAAAAGCTCAAATAAACAAATTAAGGGAATTATCTTAAAGACTTAGAAGTGGAGAGTAATAAACTGTACTTCAGTCAACCATATCTAAACAAATTTAAAAACCTGGATGAAACGAACAATTTTCTAGGAAAATATAATTTGTGAAAATTGGTTTCCAAAGAGATAGAAAACAGAAAAAAATAATTTACCAAGAAGAAAATAGACTCGGGCCTGGTGGAACATGCCTGTAATCCCAGTTACTTAGAAGACTGAGGCAGGAGGATTACAAATTTAAGGCTAGACTAGGTAATTCAGTAAGAACCTGTTTCAAAAAGTTAGAAAGGGCTGGGGATACAGCTCAGTGTTTAGCATGCCCAAGGCCCTGGGTTCAATCCCCAGTACCACAAAGGGGGTTAAAATAGAAAAGTCATTTAGTTAAGCTTTCCCCAAACCATTT